GGAGGAGAGGCCTCCTCCCAGGCGGCACGTTTGCTGGGAGGAACAAGTGCAAGGGAGCTGTGCCATCACGCTCCGGCTGCTGGCGAGCGGCTCACCGGCCCCACGGCCGCAGCGTGGGGATGCTCTCGCAGCCAACGGTGGCAGGAGCTCCCTGTTCGCAGTGGGAACAGCCCCCCCTGAGCTGGTGCCCAGACCTTGGGGACCTCCCGACAACGTGCTCACACTTTCTTCTCCCTCCAAAGGGCAAGATGCAGCACCAGAGGAGCCTCAGGCTCTGCTCCCCTTGGAAGAGGGAAAGGCACATTCCATTCTGCACAAAATATCATGATTTAAGCCCTCAAATGCCGCCCTGTGAGGAAAGAGAGCCCGAGGGGTCCCACTTTCCCTGCAGGAAAGCATTCATCAAGTCAAACAAACAGGTGGGACAACCCAGATGCCACGCTGCTGGTGCTAACTTTTATTCTGTGTTAAAAATAAAGCAAAAATGTTGCCAATAAAACCTCTGCAGAAGATTCCCAGCAGCTGGAAAGGGCAATGCTGCTCCCTGGAGAAAAGAAGCTGGCCAACTGCTGTGCCAGGGACCATGCCACCCTGAAACAGCTTTCCAACGTTACTGCAACAGCCGTGCCTCCAGCTGGTCAGGCTTCTGCTTTTCAGACCATTTAACTTTGAAGAAAACATTTTTAATTTTTTTTTCCCCTACCAAACTCATGGTTCTGAGGAAGACGGGCAGGATTTGAAAGCAAGGCCCTGCTGCCCTCACAGCTGGCATGAAATCGCCCCGCCACGCTGCGTGCAGCACATGGCGGGCTCGGGGGTCTCTGCGTGGGGAGCGCAGCAGGCTGGCTGCCTTCATCTTCTTCACTGATGCTTTATCTCACGCGTTCTTATTTATTTGCTTGCTTAATGCACTTGGCTTCGGCCCCCATTCGTTGCAACGCAAACAAACAGTGCGGATTAGGCTCCCGTGTCGCGGTCCCACGCACGCAGCCCGGGTGGGAAGGTCAGGGCGCAGGGGTCCGGCCCCAGCTGAGGCATGGAGCAGCTCTCACTCTCTGGCAGCCGAGGGAATACGGGTGTCTGGACCCCCACGGCTCCCAGCGCTCTCCTCCCACCCCGCTGCCGCGTCCCGGGTGAAAGGCTGTGCCCAGGCAGGCGGCTTTGCCCCCGGAGCCGTGGGGCTTGCCAGCCCCTGGCAGAGCTGCCGGACAGCTGCTCCTCTCTGCTGGGAAACCTGGGGGCCGCAGGACAGCTCGTGGGTGCAGCCTGCCCAGGGCAGGGCCGCTTACCCCGGCATTATCTGAGCATCACAGGTTGCAGGCGCGATTTGGATGTGATCGCATGTGGCTTTCTCCTCCGGCTCCCGGTGAGCCCGGCTCTCTGCAGCCGGAGGGAGCGATGGCCGGCGTGCGGGGCCAGGCGTGGGGCCTGGGGCCGAGCAAAGGCTGCGTCCCAGCACACAAACTCAGCTCCTTCCACCTTCCCCTGCCCTCTCAGCAAGACCTCTGGGGCTCGGCTGGGTCCGGCCGGTGCTGCAGGAGGGAGGTGGCCCCAGCGGGGGCCATGCAGGCTCTCAGAACCCTGCTCTCCCTCTGTACCTGCCCCGACACGCTGCTGGCATGCTCCCGGGGGGAGCTCCATGCCTTCCCCAGCCCCTGCAGCCCCTGACCATGCTGACGGCGCCCAGAGCAGCCCGTGTGGCTCAGGAGGGGTCTGCGGGGTGCCTGGGGTGCTCAGGGTGCTGGCTGCCACCCACTGAGCCCCCCCCCAGTGCTGGTGAGCGATGAGCTGTCGGCTGGCGCTGGCTCCCTGCACGGCTCCAGGGTGGATGAAAGGCAGACGTGTGCAGGGCGGAAGGCAGCTGCCGCGTCCGCCCAGGCCTGCACCTCTTCACACAACACCGTCAGGGCCGAGCGGGGCCCCGCTCCCCTGGGAAGGGACGGGATGCGGGCCAGCGTCATGCTTTCCCACACCGCCCGGGAACGGCCTGCCACTTCCCGGCTGCTGGGGCCTGGCAGTGCTGAGGGTCACTTCCTCGGGGCAGAAACCCCCGGGCCACCTCCCCACCAGCCTCTGGTGCTGCATTTTAGGGTGCTTTAGGGCTCACGCAATGCACTGCGGTCTGGGGTAAGTACAGGGACCTGCCAGGGCTCTCTGACCTCTGGCTCCCCGTTCCTTGGGTGGAAGAACACAAAAGGCCACAGGGGATGGGGTATCACATGTGCCATGAGGGCAAAGATGCCTTGGGGTACCCCCACCCCATCTCTGTCCACCTTTGGGGGCTCTCAGCGACACTCCTGTCCTACAGCTCAGGAAAACGCCTTCTTCCACCCCCCCCACCCCCCCGCTTCCTCGGCTGGGCTCCCAGCGGCTTCTTTGTGTCTCCTCTCTCCTTCCTCTCCTCTTCTGCAGGGCCTTTATGTGGGGATTACTAACCATGGCTACGGGGCCTTTGTTTAGGAGGGGCCGGGAGTGGAAGCCGCTGAGGAGCTGGGCGGGCGGAGGAAGGAAGGATGTGAGTGGAAGAGGGGAAGGAAGGTGGCATCTGGATTTCTGCGCTGGAGAAGCAAAATCTCCCAGGGCAGCTGCATGGAGATGGCCGGGGGCTTGGTGGACGCGGAGCAGTGGCAAAGCCCCAAAGAGGAGCCAAGCTGGCGAGGGTCACCCAGCCCCACGCCATCCAAAGCACAGCCCCCAGTAACTGCCCTGGTGATGGGCCCCGGAGCCCCAGGGTTCCAGTTCCCCTTCCCCAGGCTGTATGCCAGCGACAGGGCTTGGCCACGCTCCGCAGGGAGCAGCGCAGGGGTGGCAAGGAAGGCTGGGGAGCCGTGCAGCCCTCCCCGTGCGCCCTGCCCCGGGGGCCCGACCCTCTCTGTGTGCGGAGCAGAGGGACAAGGACAGCTGGGGGAGGGAGAACTCCTGGGGAAACCTTAGCCAGCTGACAGCCACTGCCAAGGCGCAGGGGAAAGGAGCCCTCTGCACAGGGCTGGCCTGTCCCTCGGCATCCCAGGGGTCCAGGCTCCCCAGAGCCCGGAGCAGGTGCAGCCGTGGGACAGCGTGCAAACAGCCACATACTGCCCTCTCGCTCGCACAGGCACAGCCAGGCTGAGCCCGTCACGTACGTGCCCCAGGCTCCTCTCCTGGCCCCAGAGCACTGCTGCCCTGGTGCAAAGAGCAGGCCTGGGGCTGGGGCTGGGCAGGACGGGGGCTGACAGGGCGGCAGGGGGAACCTGGGAGCCCTGGGACGGCTATTTATAAACGGCCTTTTCCTTCGGAAGAGCTGGAAAAAGGCTCCATTGTCTCGGTGCCAGATGGGCTGGGGCCGGGCGCTCGCCCACACAATGGGGCGGATTATGTGCCCGGCCGGTGGGGGTCCGGCAGCGGGATGCCCGGGAGGAGCAGCTGCCACC